TTTGATGACGTCACGGGGCGTGTCTTCGACCTCCTGAGCCGGGCCCGGCTGCAGCTGGGGAGAATCGACCGCAGGCAGAGGGTGGGGGAGGGGAAATGCCCGGAAAGTTCCGGAAAAATCCGGGAAAAAGTCGGGAATTTCGGGAAAATTCCGGGGAAATTGGGGGGAATTTGGGGGAATTTTGGGGGGTTTTGGGGATTTTAGGGGGGGTTTTGAGGGAATTTTGTGGGAATTGGGGGAGAATTTGGGGAATTTGGGAAAATTTTTTTGGAATTTTTGGGAGTTTTTGGGGAATTTTTCGGGAATTCTGGGGGATTTTGGGGAATTTTGGGGATTTTAGGGGGGATTTTTTGGGAATTTTGTGGGAATTTTGGGGAATTGCGGGAGAATTTTGTTTTCGGGAATTCTGGGGGATTTTGGGGAATTTTGGGGATTTTAGGGGGGATTTTTTGGGAATTTTGTGGGAATTTTGGGGAATTGCGGGAGAATTTTGGGAATTTTTTGGGAATTTTGGGGATTTTATGGGAATTTTTGGGAATTTGGGGGGATTTTTTGGAAATTTGGGGAGGATTTTTTGGAATTTTTTGGATTTTTTTTGGAATTTTCGGGGTTTTGTGGGAATTTTATGGGAATTTTGGGGAATTTTTTGGGAATTTTTGGGGTTTCTTGGGAATTTTGGGGAATTCGGGGAGAATTTTGGGAATTTGTGGGGATTTTGTGGGAATTTAAGAAATTTTGGGAGGATTTTCTGGAATTTTTGGGAGTTTTTTTGAATTTTTGGGAGTTTTGGGGGGAATTTTGGGAATTTGGGAGGATTTTTTTGGAATTTTTGGGAGTTTTTGGGGAATTTTTTTGGAATTTTCGGGAATTCTGGGGGATTTTGGGGAATTTTGGGGGGTTTTGGGGAATTTTAGGGGGGATTTTGTGGGAATTTTGTGGAATTTTGGGGGATTTTTGGGGATTTTTGGGCTTTGTGGGAATTTTGGGGATTTGGGGGAGGATTTTTTTTGAATTTTTGGGAAATTTTTGGGAATTTCATGGGAATTTTGGGGTTTTTTGTGGGAATTTTGCGACTTTCCCCCGGATTTGGGGGAATTTTATCCAAATTTGGGGGTTTGGGGGAGGAAATTTGAGGAATTTTGGGCGATTTTGGGGATTTTTGGGTCCTTCCAGGTGGGGTCGGAGGAACCTGAGGAGCCCCCGGAGGAACCTGGAGAGCCCCAGGTGAGAAATTGGGGAAAATTTGGGGAATTTTGGGCAAATTTTGGGCAAATTTGGGGAATTTGGGGCAAATTTGATGATTTTGGGGAAAATTTGGGGAATTTGGTGGAAATTTGGGGCAAATTTGGGGAATTTGAGTCAAATTTTGGTGGAAATTTGGGGAATTTTGGGGGGAATTTGGGGAATTTTGGGCAAATTTGGGGAAAATTTGGGGAATTTTGGGCAAATTTGATGATTTTGGGGAAAATTTGGGGAATTTGGGGCAAATTTGGGGCAAATTTGGGGAATTTGAGTCAAATTTTGGTGGAAATTTGGGGAATTTTGGTGGAATTTGGGGAATTTTGGGGGAATTTGGGGAATTTTGGTGGAAATTTGACGAATTTTGGGGAAAATTTGGGGAATTTTGGGCAAATTTTGGGCAAATTTGGGGAATTTTGGTGGAAATTTGATGAATTTTGAAGGGAATTTGGGGAATTTTGGGGGGAATTTTGGGAATTTTGGGGTGTGGATTTTGGGTGATTTATTTGGGGATTTTTTGGGATTTTTTGGGATTTTTTGGGGGGTTTTGAGTCATTTTTGGATCCCCCCAAAATTGCCAGGGGTCCCCCAGGATCAAACACGTCTGCAGGAGAGCCCCGCCCCCCGAGCCGGCCACGCCCCCGGAAGGTGAGACCCCCAAAATCCCCCAAAATCTGCCCCAAAATCCCCCAAAATCACCCCACAATCACCCAAAATCACCCCAAAATCACCCCAAAATCACCCCAAATCACCCCAAAATTGTCCAAAATCCCCCAAAATCACCCCAAAATCACCCCAAAAATCCCCAAAATCCTCCAAAAATCCTCAAAAATCCCCCAAAATCAACTCAAAATCCCCCAAAATTCCCCCAAATCCCCCAAAATTCCTCTAAATTCCCCAAAATTCCCCAAAATCCCCCCAAATCCCCCCAAAATCCTCAAAAATCCCCCAAATTCCCCAAAATCCCCCAAAATCAGCCCAAAATTGTCCAAAATCCCCCCAAAATCACCCAAAATCAACTCAAAATCCCCCAAAAATCCTCAAAAATCCCCAAAATCCCCCAAAATCCCCCCCAAATCCCTCAAATCCCCCAAAATCAACTCAAAATCCCCACAAAATTCCCAAAAATTCCCCAAATCCCCCCAAAATCCCCCAAAATTCCCCAAAAATCCCAAAAAATCCCCTAAAATCCCCCAAAATTCCTAAAAATCCTCAAAAATCCCCCAAAATCAG